TGTTTTGTGTAAAGAGGGCTTTTAAAATAATTGATTTGAAGTTAATTTTAAACACGTCAATATTTTTAGTTTTATATGCTCAACACTAGGTCTGGAATAAAAGTTCTCCACTTTCCTGATCAATCAACAAAAAGATACTGAGTAATAAGTAACTGAAAAGGAAGTCCTTACTTGTACCTGCACATGTGTATGTATAAAGGTTTTAGCCACAAGTCATCCTCTTGGTAATTGTATTTAAGTCAGTTAGTAAACATTTTGGTATTATAATACAGCTACAACTTGCTTAAACTCACAAGTTCTACTTCACAGATATGTCATTTCTAATTTTTAATTTTTATATCCATTTTTGGAAATGTAGATGTACCATTGGTCAAGGGCAGTTTTCTTTGGTCTTTGTTATGGCCAAATGGTTTTTATACAATTTTTATTAGAACTTCTCAAGATTTACATTTGCTTGTTTTTTATTGTTTCAAGTCTATATAATTCATTTGACTGTAGATAGGGTTTTTATACAAGTCTATAAATAGGAATATTGGACTCTTTATACTATGAATATACATACCATATATACATACTAATGTAGAGACTGTATTTTGAATTGTGAATGTGTCTTATTTTGACACAGTTTCATCGTTAACTCCTGTTTACCAATAAGCTTAATAAATTTATAACATTGTCTATAAGGGTATTTTCTTAGGAGTAAGATAAACGTGTTATAATTTTCTTAAGAAACTTATTCTTTTTAGTAATTGATCAGCATAACTTCAATTTAGTTACTGAAATTCTTGGCATACTTTTCTGGACCTATAATCTATCTATACCAATGTTTTAAACATTAAACTTAAAACTCAGGGGGAAAAAGGTTCTTCAACTTGAGATCTTCTCTCCAGATCTCCATTCTTTGGAGTTTCCATGAGTGTGACCTGAAGAACTTGGAACCATTGAAATTCAAATGTAGGTAGGTAAGTGTTCACACCAGCGCATGCGTTGATTGCCTTATATTTCTTTGTATATGCATCTGTATTGCACCCCCTCAGTGCCTTTCTTCCTCTTCCTCCCCATAGATCATGTAGGGCTGTGTCATCTTGATATTATGTAATTTTGTAATTCTGTATCTTGGTCAGTATTTGTCTGTGATGTGTGTCAGGAGCAATATTGAAAAGTCTTCAGACATTTATGATATTGTGCTGTCTAAAGACTGTCTTTCACACATAAGTGTTTGCTATGTATGGGCCTGGGTTGCATTTTTGTGAATTGTGTTTGTTGAGCTGATAAACATTCCCTTGGAATTGCTGGTATTCATTGAAGGATGCAAAAAGTCTCAGTCTTGCATTGTTTCACTTACTCTCAAATGTATCTAGAGAATGTGAACTATTTCTGGTTCTAAGAATTTCTTCCAGTTAGTTTTTGTTTTAAAAGTCATACTCCAGATACCATTCGTGATATAGCACGTGTCAGCTGCTGTCCTTTGAAGTCCATTCACAAGCTTTTTTTAGGCAATAAGAAAAAGTGATTAAATGTAATCATTTGCTTTCAGCGATAAGAATTAATACTAATTTATGCCACACAAACAAGACCCCTACTTAACCCCCACAAAAAGACCTATTTATTGATAGCATACTAAGTTGTAACTGAAATAGGCAAACAGGCCCAATCATGGAATATTCTCCTAGGCTTATGAGGGTTTCTACTCAGATAAGCAGAATGAGATGTTCAGGTGCTTAATTAATGTAATTTTGCTCAAAATATCTGAGCACCAAAATCGAGGATTCCTACCAAGCTTTCAATTTTTATTATTTTTTTTCCTTTTATCACATCTGCCAAGCACGTCATTGAATTTCAGAATCTCGTCTCCATGTTTTTTTTCCCATTTCCTATAAAAATTAGGTAATCCTTTGGCAGTGGTTCTTAAACTTTTGGTCTCAGGACTCTTTTAGATGTTTAAATATTACTGAAGACCTCAAAGAATGTTTGCCTATATATAGTTATATCTATCAGTATTTACTGTACTAGAAATTAAAATGGAGACAATTTTTTAAATTACTTAGTATCGCATTTTAAAATAATAAAAACCCATTATGTTAACATTTTTATGAAAAATAACTTTCAAAATTAACAAAATTGCTGAGAAGAATTGCATTTTACTGTGTGTATGATGGTGAAGAAGATAATGACTACTAATACAGTTTGGTGCCACTGACTGGGTTCATACTAAAGCCCAGCAATTTTACCCACCATTGTTTTTGCACCATCAGTGCAAATGTCAATACAGTGAAAAAGGCAAATAAAATCTTGGTATTTTTCTGAAAGTAGTTTTGACTTTATGATCCTCTGAAAAGGTTTTGGGGACCCCACTTTGAGAACCATGTTCTAAGATGCCTGTTTATCTTGAAATGAAAATTTGTATCAATCTGTTTGAGTAAAGTCTTTTTCCTCTCCTGGGCCTTCATTATCCAACGAGAATGACTTGGCTGTAATTGGTATGAACAGACTTTAGAGTTATTTGAGTATAATTTTTGTTTTAGTTAGCATCATAGAAGTGGATGTAAAAGAAAGCGCCCATGTGGTCCAAAATGAGTCTGTCCCATGGATGACTATATATTTTTCTCTTGTGTGTGGTATGTGTGTTGTATGTGAGTACACACTTTGGCTCCTGGATAGCTTAAAAACATTTTCATGATGCAGCGTGATTTTCATGAATTATGGCAATTCACACCATTAGGCTATGCTACTTTTTCTCCTGGTCTACCACAATTTCAAATATTACTGCTTCAATTTGTATGCCAAGGATTGTATGAAACTCTGCAACATTCCTTAACTTTTTGTCCCTCTTTTCCCTGGAACCAAAATTCATAATATTGTACAAGTGGTCCAAGAAAGTGGTAGAGATGCCACATTAGAAGAGCATGAAGATCATCTTCTAAGTGGCATTCTCCTGTTGAGTTATCTCCATAAAATCTGTTATTCCTCTGATGTCCCTGGACTGTTGGATTTTTATAGTTTGTACCAACAGTACTGAGGGGGTGTGTGATGCTTACATATATGCAGACATATAGTGGAGTTTGACTCACACTCAATGCATGCGCTAGTGCTCACGCTTACGTACCTGAAATTTAGTGATTCAACAGCTCTGCAGTATTTGAAGAGGTAGTCAAAATGAATAAATAAATAAATGAAAGTTTAAAAGACTGCTAAAGAACAAGGATCTGCAGAGGTGATCCAGTAATAAGGAACTCTGTGTACTGGTAAGTAATCAAAATAATTTCTAACTTGGAAAGCTTCTTGGTGCATGATCATTACAAATACTATAACCATAATACAAGATTCTGGCAATATAATACATAGGTATAATACTATACTCTATAGCATAAGTATTTGTCTATAAGATAAGTATTATGAATCATTCATTAATTGCTGAATTGTGTAGGAAAAAAAACGTCAAAAGCATAAAAACAAGTCATTTAGTTGAATATATCCTTTTTTTATATTTTATTTCTATCTCCTTTTAGAACAGACTTCATAATTTCATTGCAAAATTTGAAATTGTTTTAGACTATTTGAACTCTAAATGTAAACTTCCCTTTTGCTCAGGCCTATTTTCTATTCTGTTTTGGTAATAGGCCCCTTTCTAGTATAGATGGGCCCCCACAACTGAACCAGATAATGTTTGTAATTACCCACGCATCAGTTTTCAGGGCCGGTAGGCTCAATTGGCTGTCTCTTCATACTTCACTCTAAAAGCAGGAAAAATTAACTACAAAGACCACCAGGCAAGTATTCCACTGGCACATGAGACAGCTCAACCCTGTCTTTCTGTTCTTTTTTGATAATCACCTGACCAACCCCTTATCTATAGTTTAAGAACTCTGAAGAGTGATAGAGAGATTAGTAGGCAAACTCTGTCAAGGGAAGCGTGCTATGAGGAGAATGTGTTTTGTAAGAAACAGATTTTTATCTTTAGATTTGCGATAGGTAACTTAAAAGAATTTAGAGAAAATTATTAGCTTGAAATGGCATATAAGTTTTTAAAAAGAAAAAAAATTTTTTTGAAAGCATTCCTCTTTCTATGGCTGAACCAGTTATTACAGTGATAGTGTTTGCATAGGCATGTGAGTGTTCATGTCTTTCTTCTTAGCTTATTCTAAGAGGCAGTACTTTTGGTTTTCATTTTGATTTATTTACCTTCAACTTTGCTACAGGTATTTGATTATTGTTCATGAAGAGCCGTTGTGGAAATCCAAGGCATATGAAATACCTTAAAACCAAGTAGTTTCTTAGAAAATGAAGGCAAACAATGATGACAAAGCCGTATTGACTTCATTCTCTTCACCTCTCAAGCCAAATTTTCCTTTCTTTACCAAGATGATTGTCACTGTTATTAAATAAAACTTTGAAAAGAAAAATATTTTAAGTAACTCATTTTTTCCTTGTGAAAACTACTTTCCTTTCTAGCAGTCATCGAAGAACACTGCTGCAGATAATCAAAGAATAATCTTTGTGTATTATATACTTTAAACTCTTTATTATGGAGCAACTGTTTTTAAAGGGTTCTAAGATTTTTGTCTTCTCTCTTGGTCTTTATTAAACTTGCTTTTTTTTCTTAGTGCTTTTCATGTACTCTGATTTTCTGTAATGCAAATGTTACTTTGTCTTACCTTCTCACTTAAAAACCAATGCTAATGTTTAATTGTTTATACATCTTTAAAGCCTGCTCTGTAAAGGTATAAGACCCTATTTTTTTAAGAACACTAATGATTTGACATATTATTTGAATTATTTTCATTTCTAAATTTCTTGATGATTGAAAAGATTCAAACCTCAACTCTTCTGAATTAAATGTCTTAAAAATTTTCAAGACAGTTATATGAATGGACTTAGTCTTGCTTTACTGTAGTTAAAATAGTATTGAATTTTTAATAGGAAGAATAAGAGGTGTTTTCTTCTTAGTAATATCCATTTGATACATAAACACTTTTTTTGTTTGTTTGTTTTTTTTACAGATTCCCTTCAAGCTCAGCTTATCAATATGGGTGTTATTCCTACCTTAGTGAAATTACTGGGTATCCACTGCCAAAATGCAGCTCTTACAGAAATGTGTCTTGTTGCATTTGGCAATTTAGCAGAGCTTGGTAAGTCCTATTCATGAACCACAAATGTAATTAACTTATTAATGTACTTAAAATAAATTTTCCTTTAGATGTTAATAACCTGGAAATGCATTTTCAGGTTTGTTTTTTTTGAAGCATTGTAGATGTTTGCTTCAGTATTAAAGTAGATCCAATTATATCTTATAATTGTATTATTTATCATTTGAGCTACTTTGCTTCCCTAATTGTTTCATGTATTCAGATTTAAAGTTTACACTTATATATTATTTAATAGAGTTGAATATTTAAAATGATCTCCACTTGACTTTAGTATTCTTACATGAGGGATGGTCTGAAAATCAAATATCATATTTCTAGGGAAAAAATAAAAGACTTCATAATTTATTACATTTTATATAAATTATTTGGTTATCAAGTAAAAAGGAATCTAACAGACCAAGGTTCTTCCACCTCTTTTTACAAAATGCCTAAAAATGATAGAGGACTTTTTCATAAGAATGTATTTATAACAGCATTAGAAAAAAATATGCGAAATCCTTGAGAATCAGAAGGTAGACAGAAACAGACTGATGCTGGAAACATAGCCCAGACATAACAGAGAAGAAGATTGATGACCCCAGTAGCCCATCTCTCTTCCCTGTTTTATTTTTCTCTATATCATGTATAGTACCCTTTCATCTTTCTCTCCTTCTTTCCTGTGATTCTTGATAGAAAGTTACAACACTTGGGCTAAATCTACCCCACGACCGTGTTCATAATAAATTATTTATTATGAGGGCAGTGAAACCAAATGATGTTTTGTCATAGCTAAGTATAATAGCTACAACAAATAAATAAATCAATTCTATTAATTATCCCCATTTTATAAATAAATAAACAGAAGCACCAGGACTCTAACCTTAGATTTTCTGACTGAAAGCTCATGTCCTTATGTACATTAAAACCTTGATTTCAGTACTTTACTTTTGCTTTGACTTCAAGTTACGGGAATAGGGATTATTTATCGAGTTAGTTTTGAAAAGTCATTCTTATTCACTAGATCATCTCCTGGTATTTGTGAATGTTTCTTGTCTCATCTCCTCCTTTGCTTTTCTTCTTTTTAATACTGTTACTATTATTTCCACCATTGAAGTAAGACCAGGAATGAAAGAACATTCATTTACTGTTTCACAAGTTAATATTTTCCATTATTAAAATAGAATTTGGAGCTTGTGTTTATTATAGTTTGTAGAAATAAAACAGAAATCATGTTATATAATCCCTGATAATGTCGTAATCTTTGTAACAGAAACATAAATGCCATTTAGTATGAGTTGCCTGCATTAAGGTATCTGGATTTGTTTTGGAGATTGCGTAGACCACCTCAGATCAACCTCGACTCCCTGAGCTATATTAAAATATGGATATATACCCAATTTAGTTCAACCCAATTTTATACTCTCTTCCAAGCTGTTACTGCCCTTACCCCATTTGGAGGAAAAAAAGATAAAAGAAAAATATTTCTTTATTTACTAAGACTTCTAGAGTTTATATCATGAGTTTTTTATGCCCACATAATAGCTAGGTTATACATCAACACTGAAATAGAACATGTATGCCCCAGGATTTTTTCTATTTTTCTTTTTTCAGTGTTGGCTTTAAACTTTTTCTCTTTTCAATGTTGGCTTTATTGCCCATGAGTTAACAAATTACATAGTATTATTTTTATTGACACAGGTAAATATCAAGTTCATATCACACACTTCTGAATATGGCATATTACTAAATGCTAGAGTTACTTTTTGTCAAAGTTTTTTAATAAAAATGTTAAATAGGAATTCTGTGGTTTTGCTCACTAAAGACATATAATAGCTTAAAGGCAAGAGATAAAATAATTTAACAAGTGCAGTCTATTTCAGAATTGGGGGCAGAAAAGGAAAATGCAGCTCCACCTTTTTGTTTTGTTGTTCTCTCTGAATCCTGGTTTATGTGCCCACATAATTTTTCTACATTCACAATTTTAGCATGAATACAATTTTAAAGTTTGCATTCTTATTTAACATTATGGTTTAAGTAGAATGGGATTTTCCATCTTTGTATTTGGCTCCAAAATCTTTTATAAGTAAAATTTTCCAAAAACAGATTGAGTGAAAGTAGATATACCTGATGCTGAGAACCCCAATGTTGTTAGTCCGTTTGTCCTTTAGAACACAGACTTAAAGATACTTACATTGTGGTTTCCCTGTAAAAGGGCCATCTGACCACCCTACAGGGAATCTTGGCAGTCAGCAAGACCTGTCATGCTCATAGCTCCTAATCAGTTTTTAAATCCCAATTCTTTTTTTTTTTTTTTTTTTTTTTAAAGATTTTTTTTTATTTATTTTATTTTTCCCCCCCAAAGCCCCAGTGGATAGTTGTGTGTCGTAGCTGCACATCCTTTCTAGTTGCTGCATGTGGGACTCGGCCTCAGGATGAACGGAGAAGTGGTGCCTCGATGCGCACCCGGGATCCGAACCCGGGCCGCCAGCATCGCAGCGCGCGCACTTAACCACCAAGCCACAGGGCCGGCCCAGAAATCCCAATTCTTAATCAATGCCGGACAACCAGAGAGGTGAGGACAGCCTCTAACGTGGAAGATAATGAAATAAAGAAATAGGAAAAAGCAACTTGGAGGAAATAGAAACTATGCAGGATGGGGAAAAAAATTAATATCCTCAGATAAATGAGAAAAAAATACTATAAGCACAAAACTATAACAAGATGCTATTTTTAAAGAAAAGGAACAATAAAAAAGCTTGAACATTAAAAACACAATAGCTAAAATGAAAGACAGTAAAATGTTTGGAGAAATATTTGCAGAAGTGAAACAAAAAACAAGGAAGTGGAAAATAGAAGAGAAAGTATAGCTAGAGGATCAGACCAAGAATTCTAGAAAGAGATAAACAGGAGGAAGTTGCCAAATAACTTAAGTATCACAGAACTAAAATACATAATTTTCTAGATTGAAGGGTCTGTCAAATGCCTAGCCTAATGGATAAAAATAGACCCAGACCATAACATATCAGTGTGAAATTTTAGAATAATGGGGACAAAGAGAACATCTTACAAACTTCCAGAGAGAAAGAGAAAAAATTACGTAAAAACGATTGTGAGTCAGTGGACATCCGATGTCTCACAACAACACTGGCAGCCAGAGAAAAATGGAGTATTGCCTTCAAAAATCTGAGGGAAATTATTTCCAATATAGAATTGTATACCCAAACTACCAATCAAGTGTGAAGTTACAATCAAACATGAAAGTCTCAGAAAATTGCTATCCTACATACCTTTCCTCTGGAAGCCACTGGAAGATGTGTTCTGCCAAAACAAGCGATTTAAATTAAGAAAGAAGACTATATAGAAATCAGGAAACAAGAGATCTAACAGGAAAACAGGAATTCCTAGTAGTCTGGTGACATGAGAGCCACAAATGGTCTATTTTCAAAGAGCAACCAGTCCAGATTGGAGTGAGTCAGAAGGCTCTTGGAGTCGAGGTTGGGGAACTTCTTATAGGAGATGAAATTGATGGAATACCTAAAAGGAATAAGCTTATTAAGAGAAGATTAGGCAACTCGTGGCAATCTTGCAGTTGAATTAATAAGTGCATAGAAAACTAAACAAATGAGGACGAATAATTCCACGGAAAATGAAATAGTATATTTGAAACACTAATTATTGATACAACCAAAATTACAGTGTACCTACACTAAGAAGATGGAGGGTGTGGTGGAGACAAGAGAAAAAGAAACTAAGCTCATCTTTCATAGTGGAGAGTCAGTCAAAAATACCTAACACTAAAAAATTAAAAAGTGGCAAAACAAATGTGTCATTTAAAAATATGGAGGTAAATATCCATAAATTAGCTAAAAGAGCTTTACGTGTTTGCTTCTGAGGAAGGAGAAATGAGGGAGGAGGACTGGATTCTGCTGGTAATATAAGTATTAGGACTAACTAACTTATGTATAATTTTGGTAAGAATAAACCCTTAGAAAATGAAGCTTCTTGCTAAAGGGCTGTTAAGGATCCATGGCATTTAATTCAAATATAATGTCCAAATCATATTTCATGCTGTCTTTTCTCTGTATCCACCTGCAGAATAAGTACAGATTTTGTTCTTTAATTCCCGTAGTAATCATAGAGCCTTGTTTCCTTGTGCTGGCAGGTGGCCTGAATTACTTAGCGGCAGTAATTTTGGTTTCAGTTTAGTAAGTGCTTGGAGTAATAGAATATGGATTGGAAAAAAGAGTGCTAACACTATTATTTTTAAAAAAGAGTAAGAGCACATAACTAGATAAGTGATGATGTCTATCTGCCTCACCTATGATTTTATGTTTCTGAAATTCGTTCCATTCGAAGAATTTTCTGAAGCAGAGGAGCAACTAACAATGTTCAGGAGTTAAATCATCCCTATTTAAATCAAACTAACCTCCTTTTAGGGTGAGGTGTGCTGACATTTGTAGAATATGATCTCTGAGGGTTTAGGTAGCTTATTGAGAAAGACGCTTCACCCCTATTCCTTTTTAGGCACTAAAGAATCGTACTTACGAGTCTTGAAGTGGATTTTCATCATTTTGGCATAGATCTGGTGCGTGTGCCAAAAGCAGTGTAACAGTAGAGTGAATCGAAACTGTATTAAGCCATATTAAGATTTGTGTTTCTCCTTTCTAAGTTTGAATTTGCAGTATTTTTTATGTTGACAAGAGATTTACCAGGAACTGGAGACTAGAACCTAACTCTTGTATTCATTTACTTATTCATTGTCACACATCCATTCAGTCAGTAAATTTCTTTTGAACACCTGCTATCTACTGGGCACTATACTGTACACTCTGCTTGGCTTATGGTTGTTAAAATAATATACACTGGCCCTGCCCTCAAGGAGCTTATAATTTAGTGAGTGAGATGGAAATAAATGTTTTAAATGAATTTACAAGTAAATAAGCATATAATTATAAATTAGGATAATTGCTAGTATGAGAAATTAATGGAATGAGGTGAGGGACTAATTTAATTAGAAGCATAGACTCTAGGTGGGAAAGAGCATTTTCAGACAGTCAAGATTTCAAAATATTTACCTCCTATATACAGTATATAGTAGCTTTCTCAGGAAGCTGCTAGAGGAATCTTCCACCAAAACAAAATAAGCAAAGGCAAAAAAGAACATCGATAATAGAGTATCTAGTACAGGAAGGAGAAGAAAGTATCCATCAAGATAATGATAAAGAGAAATTCCAGGATGTCAGCTGTGCCCCTAAAACAGAGAGAGTAACAAATCTAGATTGAGTTTGGTCACAATTTTCTGAGAGAAACTTCTAGATAAATTAATAGAATATCTGATGCAAGCAAAGAAATTGAGAAGACAAACGGAGAGAAATAGAATGGATTTCGGATGTATTTTGGAGGTAGAATGGTAGATCTTAGCAGTTCATTGGATGTAGAGTTGAGTGAGAACAAGCGAGCCATGACTCCCAGGTTTCTGCCTTCATAAATGGATAGATGGAGTGTTCATTTACCAAGTTAAGGAAGTCTAGAGGAAGAAGAGATTTCAGAGTAATATCAAAAGTCCATTTTAGACATTGGGTTTGGATGCTAGAGAGATATTCAAATGGAGATGTCAAATGGCCAGTTATATATGTAGCCTGAAGTCCAGAAGAGGGCTAGAGATATAATTGTATAAGTATCAACATATAGGTGCTGTTTTGATGCTATGAAAGAGAATTAGATTGCCTAGGGTGACAGTAAGGACAAAAAGGTAAGAAAACAAAGGATGAAGTGCCAAGGAACTGAAATTTATAGAGGTCTGGTGGAAGAGGAGGAGCAAACAAAGGAGACTGCAAGGTGTAGAAGGGGCCAAGACTAGTTTGAAGTGGGTTCAGGAAGGCATGTGAGTTGAGAAAGTAGAGACAGTGTATGTAGGTATCAAGAAACTTGTTTGTGAAAGTGAACAGAGATTGGATCGTAGTTGAAGAAAAGTAGAGTAGAGGGAAGGTGTTGGTTGTTAATAATTACTTTTTTATTTGAGAAATATTAAAGCATATTTAAATGCTGATGGTGAGGATCTAGAGTGAAGAGGAGATGGTGGAGATGCTGAAGAGGCAAGAAGAATGAGACCCCAAGTGCATGTGAAGAATTCATCTGTAATATTAGGCATGTCAGGACCAGTGCAAAAGCATACCACTTTAATGGTATAAAGATAAGATGATAAATCACCTTTAATTCAGCCATGTAAAATGCAGTCTATTATGAGTAATTTTTCTTCTTTGACTAAAAACCTTGAAACTATGAATTTATAACTTAGTAATTGTATTGTTGCTATGGTTACCTATATGTTATGCTAATGAACTTTTTTTTATAGCCTTGAATATAATTGGATCAGAACATTTTCTTTAAAGCCTTAGACATTTTTCCTTTTCAGGGGCATTAAAAAATGGATTTGATTGTTCCTGCGTTGAAAAGTGTTTCTATTTATCAGGAATGGTACAAAATGACCAAGTATTGAAAGTAATAGAAAACAATTTCTGGGTTTAATTTTGTTTGCTTACTCCAGATTTTCCTCGTTTTTTTTGCAGAGTCAAGTAAAGAACAGTTTGCCGGTACAAATATTGCTGAAGAGCTGGTAAAACTCTTCAAGAAACAAATAGAACATGATAAGAGGGAAATGATTTTTGAAGTTCTTGCTCCATTGGCAGAAAATGGTGAGAAAATAAATGCACGTCTTGATTTTTGATCATGTAGCCTTTTTCCAGTTTTTTCTAATATTATTTAATTGCCAGCTGTTTAACTCAAAACGCTTCTTTGTTTTATTAATGATGTGAAAAGTTTTATTTTGGCTATCTCTAATTTCAGCTACATTGTCTACTCCATAACTGTATGTACCTTGGCCAAAGCTATTTTCCAAGTTCCTTTGATTTTAAAATCTTGGCAAAGATGGTTCTGTAGCTTGTACATTTCTTCCGCCAGACTGGAAAAGGCAGCGGAGATGCTGAACTCCACTTAGGTACCCTTTCAGGGCAAAGGGGGTAAAAGTTGGAGTCCCAGCCCTGCCAACAGTGTGGACACTGGTAAACTACACCTATCTTTGGGCAAAAAATCTTAAGGGATATACCCTAGGAATAAGAGTGAACCAGAGTAAACAAACCATCCCATATAAATAATTTTTCAAATACAGTGTCTAGCACATAATCAAAGAGGACTAGACACGTGAGGAGACAAGACGTTGTAAGCAAGAACCAGCACAAAGAACAGGCAGCAGCAGCAAATCTCCAGATACTGGAAATATTAGACATTGATTCCCAACAGGTATGCTTATTATGTTCAAAGAATTAAAATTAAAAGCAAGCTTGCAAAATTTAGAAGGAAACTAGAAACTATAAAGAGTAACATAGCAGATTTGAAAAAGAAATAATTGGAAATTCCTGAATTGAAAAATACAACCAAAATTAGGAGCTTAATGGATGGGTTTAATGGCAGATTAAATATAGTTGAATTAGAGAACCAGTGAACTGAAAGATAGATTGGAAGGAAATCCAGAATGAAGTGTAAAGAACCAATATGCATAAAAAAGAAGAAGAGGTACAGGGGATAAAATGAGAAGCTCTGATACACGTTTTTTGGAGTCCCAGGAAGGGTGGGGGCTAGGGAGGCTAAGGCAATATTTAGAGAAATTTTGGCAGAGAATTTACCAGAAATTATGAAAAATATCAAAGATTCAGGAATCCAATTAATCTAAAACATTATAAAAAGAAATCTACATCTAGATAACATCATATTGAAATTGCAGAAAGTCAATGACAAAAATTTTAAAAGTAGCCACGAAAAAAATAAACTATGTTAAAAAGGGTAACAGTTTGACTGAAAGCTATCTTCTCAAGAGCAACAGTGAAAGCCAGAACAGTGAAACAACATCTTCTATGTGCTGAAAGAAAATATATGCCAACCTAGAATTCCAAACCCAGTGAAAATACCCTTCAAAACTCAAGGCAAAATAAAGATATTTTTTGATTAAAAACTGAGAAAGTTCACCACCAATATACCCTCACTAAAGGAAATTATAAAGGGTGTTGGTGAAATAGAAGGAAAATGATTGCAGGAGGAAGGTTATAGATTCAAGGGAGAACAAAAACAGAAAGAAAAAAACCCAGCTAATATGTAGGTAAAATCTTATGAACGTTGAAAATATAAATAATAAAAGCAATTTATTGTGAAGTTTAAGTGTATATGTATATAATTTAAAATATACCACAAAATGAGTATAGAAGTCTGGAGGAAGGTAAAAGGAATTAAAAAGTCCCAAATCCCTTGTATGATCGGAAAGAAAGTACTGTTGGAGTCTGATTATTCAATAATTTCAACTTTTAAGGTGACTACTAAAATAATTTTTAAAAACAATGTGTAACTACCAAACTAATGAAAGGATTTATTAAAAGATTTTTTTTTAAATACCCCATCAATCCAAAATAACAGAAGAGAGGAAAGAAAGGGGAACATGGAACAGGAGGTACAAATAGGGCATAAAAAATATGCTAGATTTATGACACAGTATTTCAGTAATTACATTAAATTTATGTGACCTAAATGCTTTAATTAAAAGACCAGTTTTGACTGAATTTTAAAGAAACAAATATGCTTAAGACAAGTAAAACTTCTTAAATATAAGGAGATTTAAAAGGTTGAGAATAAGAAAATTGGAAAAATATACCATTCAAACTTAAAGAAGGCTGAGGTAGTTATATTAATATCAGATAAAAAAGACTTTAAGATTAAAAGACTTGCTAGAGATAAAGAAGTTGACTTTTTAGTGATGAAAAGTCCACTTCAGCTGGAAGCTATAAAAATTATACATTACCCCAAAACATATGAAGCAAAAATATTCAGAACTATGAGGAGAAATAGACAAATGCGCAAAAATCTTGGGCGATTTTAATACCTCTTTCAGTAATTTATAGAACAAGCAGATTGAAAAACAATAGGGATAAAGAAAATGTGAACGTGATTAAGAAAACTGATTTAATGGACGTATTTTAGAACACTGCATCCAGCTTCAGAGCCTTTTCTTTTGAAGTACACCTGAAACATTTAAAACCATATACTTACCATGAAAAAAGTTTTGATAAATTTCAAAGGATTACAATCTTAGAGTATGTTCTCTGACCTAAGTATTTTATCTAGTAACTGATAATAAAAAGATAACTAGGAAATCCCTATTTGTTTCGATATTAGGAAATACACTTCCAATACCTCAGAGGTCAAAGAAGAATCATAATGGAAATTAGAATTTTTTCTAATAATTAAAATAAAAATACTATGTCTCAAATCTTTGTGATGTGGGTAAAGCCATACTTAGAGGGAATTTTTTGCTCTAAATGAAATATTAGAAAAAGAAGAAAAGCTAAAATCAGTTCAGTATTCATCTCAGGAATTGAGGGAGTGGAAACATAAACTCAAAGAAGGAAGGAAATATAAAGAGCTGAAATTAATAAAATATGTAATGTAATACAAGCATATAATTGCCAATATTGAGTCTGAAAAGACTTAACTGATAAATCCCAAGTAAGATTAATCAGGAAAAAAGGAGAAGGCATAAACAAGGTAAATCAAGAATGCAAAAGGAGATTTCACTACAGATCTTATTAAGAGAATGTTATGAACAATTTGATCCCAGTACATTTTATAATTTTTATTTATTGATTGATTTTTCCCCCAAAGCCCCAGTAGATAGCTGTATGTCATAGCTGCACATCCTTCTAGTTGCTGCATGTGGGACGCGGCCTCAGCATGGCCGGAGAAGTGGTGCGTCGGTGCGCGCCTGGGATCCAAACCCTGGCCGCCAGCAGCAGAGCGCGCGTACTTAACCACTAAGCCACGGGGCCGGCCCAATCCCAATACATTTTAAAGTATAGGTAGCACAAGAAGAAATAGAAAAGCTGAGTAATCTTATCTTAAATTCTTCCAGAGAATAGGAAAAACAAATATACTCACCAATTTATTTTATGAGGCTAATATAACCTTTATACCAAATGCCAACAAAGACAATACAGTCGTGCACCGTGTAGTGATGTTTTGGTCAATGATGAACCACATATATGATAGTGGTCCCGTAAGGTTATAATGGAGTTGAAAAATTCCTATCATCTAGTGATGTTGTAACCGTCATAGCACGGCGCATTACTCACATGTTTGTCGTGATGCTGATGTAAACAAACCTACTGCACTGCCATTCATATAAAAGTATAGCACATACAATTATGTACAGTATGTAATACTTGATAATAAACGACTGTGTTACTGGTTTATGTATTTGCTATACTATACTTTTTATTCTTACTTTAGAGTCTACTCTTTCTACTTATTAAAAAAAAGTTCACTGTAAAACAGTATGCCATGTTACACCAGCAACAGCCTCGTACATCCCATGTTTACCGCGTCTTTTGATTGCATCATTTTCTCTTGTGCTTGATTTAATCTTGTGTTGTTTTGTTCATTGTGGCCCCTAAGCATATAAAATCCACTGCTAATGTTGCCAGTAAGAGGCCACATTGAGTGACTGACCTGGAAATGAAATTAAAAGTGATTAAGGACTACAAAGGTGGTAAATCAGTGATGGCTGTTGCTGGTTAGTCGGTCATGTCCCATTGCACCATAGCTATAATCTTGAAGAACAAGAACAAAGTGATGGAAGCTGTTAAAGGATCTGCTTCATTGAAGGCAATGAGACTAACAAAAATTCGAGAAGGGTCTATATCAGACATGGAGAAACTTCTAATGACCTGGATTGAAGACCAGACACGGAAGTGTATCCCTTTCAGCAGCATGACAGTGACCGCCAAAGCAAAAAGTTTGTTTGTGATGTTGAAAGAAAAGGCTGGACCCAACTACCGTGTTGAATTTACTGCTAGCTCTGGGTGGTTTAAATGATTTAAGAATTGTTATTCATTACATAATGTGAAAGTGAGTAGTGAGTCTGTGAGTGCTGATGTGAAGGCAGCTCAAGAATTTTTGGAAACTCTAGATAAGCTGATTGTGGAGGAAAATTACTTGCCAGAGCAAATATATTCAATATGGATGAAACTTACCTGTTCTGAAAACAGATGTCTGAAAGGACTTTCATCCATAAGGAGGCCAAGTCAATGCCAGGTTTCAAAGCTTTTAAGGACAGGATAACAGTCTTGCTCGTGGGGCAGTGTCTCAGGGTACAAACTGAAACCCTTTGTGATCTGACATAATGAGAACCCCCGGGCCTTCAAGCATATCAGTAAGCACACACTGCCGGTGTCTACAGGAGCAATAAGAAGTCATGGATGATGGGGTCGGCCCCGTGGCTTAGCGGTTAAGTGTGCACGCTCCGCTACTGGCAGCCCGGGGTTCGGATCCTGGGCGCATACCGACGCACTGCTTCTCCGGCCATGCTGAGGCCGCGTCCCACATACAGCAACTAGAATGTGCAACTATGACATACAACTATCTACTGGGGCTTTGGGGGTAAAAAAAAAAGAAGAGGAGGATTGGCAATAGATGTTAGCTCACAGCTGCTCTTCCTCAGCAAAAAGAGGAGGATTAGCATGGATGTTAGCTCAGGACTGATCTTCCTCACAAAGAAAAAAACAAAAAAAAAGAACTCATGGATGACCTAGCTCATCTTCTAAGATGCCCTTCTGAATTGCTATGCCAGAGAAATGGAGAAGTACTGTTTGGAGAA